GGGGCCGCGCGCGTGATGCCGCGGGGAGGCCTCGGCCCGGCCCCGCGGCGCCGCCATGGCGGTGTCATGGCGGCCCCGCGCGGCTCGGTCCACACCCGGGCTGAGGGGAAGTGGAAGGGCCCGGCAGCTGCGGCCCCGGCGTGTGCCCTACGGGGGAAGCTGCCAGGCGCCCGGGAAGGCCCCGCCTCCACACATGGGGTTCCTTTCCCGGACCCCGTGCCCAGGACTGACCGTGGCTGGACTCCAGGTGCCCTCTAAAGCCGCCCTGGCACTGCCCTCCGCAGCTTGGCACGGGAGGGACAATACAACGAGAGGCTCGTGGGTCGAGATCAGGACAGGACGAGATCACTCACGAATTGCCGTCATGGGCAAAAGAATCTTGACGTGGGGAAATGAATTTAATACCAGTCAAATCAGAGTAGGATCTTAAGAAATAAACCTAAATCTAAAAACACTGTCCTTGCCTTCCTTGCTTTTCAGGCTGATTTTTGCCTTCCCACTCACGATTTTTGGGATGCAGTCCTCCAGGAACAGCCTGCTCCAGAGGGTGCCCCCTCAGGGTCAAAGTCCTGCCAGCCAACCTGCTCTGCTGTGGGCTCCTCTCTCCATGGATCCACAGATCCTCACAGGAGCCTGCTCCAGCACAGGCTTCCCACAGGGTCACAGCCTCCTTTGGGCACCCACCTGCTCTGCCCTGGGGTCCTCCGTGGGCTGTGGTGGATCTCTGCTCCCCATGGACCTCCCTGGCTGCAGCGGCACAGCTGCCTCACCAGGGGCTGCGCCAGGGGCTGCAGGGGGATCTCTGCTCCAGCGCCTGCAGCACCTCCTCCACCTTCTTCATTGGAGTCTGCAGAGTTGTTGCTCTCACTCCCATTCCACTCTTCAACTGAAGATGTTGTTGTGCAGACTTTTTCCCCTTCTTAAATCTGTTATCCCACAGGCACTACCCCTGTCACTGATAGGCTGAGCCTTGGCCAGCAGTGGGTCCATCTTGGAGCTGTCCGGCATTGGCTCTGTCAGACACAGGGCATCCTTCTGGGGGCTTCTCACTCTAGCCCCCTCCCCAAGCCCCTGCCACACAAACCAAATACACCAGAGATGAAAGGTCTGGAAGTGGTGGGAGCCTCAGTGTGTGTATTCTGGAGCTTTCTGACCAGAAAAGTAGGCAGGCACGCTTCCTTGGGATTCATTGTTCAAGTCCCTGGTGGCAGTGCTGGGGGATATGAACTTGCACAGCCCTTGTTCACACTGATGAGGCCAGACAGTGGATTCAGTGGGAGGTACGAACAGTTGCTGGCCTTTCCAGGAGCATATTCTGCAGCTCAGGGAAACTGCAGCTCATTTTTTGCCTGAAAATTTAGGTGGCTTGACAGTCAAGCATGTGTCTCATGCTTCTGTGCATTGCCCAGCCATGATGCTTGGGTCGCTGCAGACATTTGGCTGCTTTGGCAGTCACCCATAGGGGGAGATGGACCGCAGCAAGACCCAGATGTAACTGCAGGAGGTCAGACTATTCCAAAACTGAGCTGCCTCTGTAGATGAGGTGCAGGGAGGAGACCTGTGCCACCTGCTGTTGTCAATTGAGAAGCCTGCTGTATTAATATTTTCATAAAGTAGAATAGGAAACAATCCACTCATCATTTAGGCTGGAATGGTATTTAGATGGGGAGAGGGACTGCGTGTCCACATACTCATTGCACCTAAATGGAAAACTAAATGCTCCAAGGTGCAAATTGTCTACCCAAGGGCTTGTTAAAACCAAAACTACTGTTTCTTTGCTCTTTTTGATTTTTAAACCTGTGCCAATCACAAGCATCAGAAAACATAGATAACAAAATACTAATAATACTAAATTCTAGGTATAATCAGGAATACCAAAAGAAACATTGCAGTTGAGACAGCCACAGTACATAGTATCACCATACAATTGCAGAAGATTTTAACATTCACCCATATAGACTAGCACAATACCACATCAGACAGCTTCAGGTGTCTACCCATACAGCATAACACTGCATCACCTCAGAAGGCTGCAAGTGTCTGCCCTCCTTGTTCTTTAGCCCAGCCTTTTATACCCCTCATTGTTCATGCATTGCACCTGTGTGCTTTCTGTTCCCTTTGGTGACTGGCCAGCACACCTCACCACTCCATGGCTCATTACCTTCAATGCTGTTCTCCTGCTTTTTGCACTTGTACCCCACTGGGGATGAGGCTCGGCTGCAGCCCTACTCCCAATTAGCACAAACTGTGTACCTACAAAGAAATGCATTTTGTTAAATTACTTCTTATTTTCTAGAAGTTCAAACAAGCTTACCCAAAATTCGCACTGGTTTTAACAAATGTGACATGTTTGCATCCAAGGACAAGCACTTATGTGGTAACCTGTGTTCTATTTAGATAGTTCTGTGCGAGGCTGAGTCAAAGAATAGGGGTTAGGGAAAAGGAAAGGTCTCTTACTGGCAGTGTGTGCTCAGCAACAATAGCCTTAATCCTTTACTGAAACAGACCTTGATCCTGTGGAAGCTATTGAGGCCAAATTCCTGTCGGTTTCTGTTAGAATATGACCTAAAAAAAGAAAGCAGGCTTGTACTCTTAAGGGATCTAAAGAGTTCAGGCAAAGCTACTCTGACTGCATGCAGCTTTGTAAGAAAGGCAACACCTTGGGAAGACTGTACTTAGTAAAAAAGAAGTATGTGGCTGTGTATGGATAGGCTTGTGAGTTTCACTGCAGCTGCAGATGAACTGAGAAAATGTGCTTGTGAATGAAAGGTTTTATTTTACACTCCATTAGTTATGGAGCAAGGATGGCAATCAAAGGAATATCAGACAGTGCCAAAGTTAGTAACCTGCATTGCACCTTACTAGACTAAAGGAATAAGGAGCATGGAGAGGTATCTAGTTGAAAAGACTGCAATAAGGGGATCAGCTCTAGTAATACATCTTCTAAAATGTTCCCTATATGGTTATCAATCCATGTTACCAGCTCCTATTTCGGTCAGAACAGGTACTATTTAAACATCTTTTTTTTGTGTTTCTGTTTTTGGCAGGGACACAACCTATTCTTTCCACTGATTGCTTTCTTTATGCCTATTACTTTGTACCTGTCTGTTACAGTTGAAATCTCCTCAATTGTACCTTTTCTACATCTATTTGCTTCACATTTCTGTTGTCTGCTATGTTTCTCCTTGTGTATTTTTATTGTGGTCTGCAATGTCATCACTGTGAAAAAAACCCACCACTTTATCTGCTAAGTGTCTACAGTCCCACCATCAATATTTTGCTATGATGATGGAGAACTATTAATCCATATGTGAAACATTTTTTTCTGGTTCTTCAAATCTCTATGATACTATGTAAACCTTTGCAGATGTGCCAATGTCTTATATTCCTCAAGAGCTTAATCCTTGCTGCAGCTGAGATGAGAGGGGAGAAAAGCAGTTTCCTTCTGCTGTGGTTTTGAGTCAATTTATATCAAAGCAGTTTGGGAAGTTGGTGTGGAGAACATCAAAACTGCTGCAAGTCAACACTATCAGCAGAAGAGTGGATGATGTGTGGTATCGTGCCAATTCCACACTCCTGCACCTTCAGCAAACCCTCTGTAAAGTCCAGAGAAGGTGTAAAGTTGGCAGTGCACTGCACTTGTCTTTTCCTTGCAAGGGGCCACAGAGGGGCTGAGAATCGAGTTACAATGTGTGAATGTACTAAAGACAAATCTTGATTTTGCTTGAGTGGTACATTCCTTTATGAACCCCCTGTTGCTTATCACTCCCTGCATTCCTTTTCCTCTAAGCTGTCCTAAAGCAGGAGATTCCCATGTTGCAGTGCCATTTTCATTGAAGTAATAAATGTCATATTGTCATCAAAAACTAAGATAAACAGTTTTTCCAGGATTATTTCTTCTTACAAATGATATTTATAGTTTTTCACAGTCCAAGACACAAGCTTATCCCTTGTGTTCAAGTTTTAAGATGGTGTCAGTGAGACAAAATGGCATTCACTTGAACTCTCTTGAAATGCGATTGCAGTTGTGCCAATGATGTATGAAATGTAAGTTGATTGATGGAAATCCAAAGCCCCTTTGGGTTAGCAAGTGTTTTTTTCATTTTGACTCTCTAGAAACTGCTGAGGTTTATGCCTGTTTCAGCAATCTGCATTTACAGTCCTGCTGCACTGTAGCTAAACTGATTTACAGTTGCTATTTGCAGATCCAGAACAAAGTGTCAGTTAAAGGCTGAATTGGTGTATGGAAATGCAACTACTGTACCTCATGGAATATCTGTATTTTGCTTACATAATCTAGATATGTAGTAACTTCTGCCAAAATTGCTGTTATTTAACAGTTTTGGAAGGATTGTGCTGGTTAGTCATGAGAACAATCCCATTTTGCTTTAAAAACAGGAAGCTGAATGATGCTGTGGAGGAGGAGTGGGAGAAGAGGAGCTCAGGACGAGTTCTTTTTCTCAGTTCTCTCAATCTGTTACTTTTGCTGTATCTGTACCCGTTCTGTCTGTAAACTCCCAAGGAGAGATCCTGATTCTTTTGTTTTCATTTAGTGGCATTAAAAAATTCCACACAGCATACAAAACAAATTTATTTTATTGCCCCAGTTGGCAGGCAAGGTAACATTTTCTTCTGCCAATAAGTAAACATTGACTTTTTCCATTATCCCAGCTGTCAAAATCATATCAC